GAGCGAAACTTTGAGGCCTGAAGGGACACAGCACCACAAGGCCTTCGTCCCCCGAGGAAGAGGAGCAAGTGGCAGCATCTTTCATCACCGCTGCAAAGAGCAGTCCGATGGGAAACGAGGCCACGGCTCCAGCAGAGGCTCCAGGGGCTGAGACCTGGCAGCCGATAAATTAAGTGGAGTATCACGGGGCAAACCCCAAATAGGGGGGTGACAGGAGATCCTGGGGTGTTGAGGCCATTCCCAAAGTGCCAGCCAAGGGGCCTCGTTTCAAGGAGAGGGGGGGAACCCTCCACTCACATCCCAGGGCCACCCCTGCCCGCAGCCCCCCCAGCCTGGCCCCAGGGCACCATGGGGCTGCTTTTAACAGGGGGTTCCACCCCAGTTCCCCAGAGAAGGGGCACCTGGGGGTCCCAATGGGAGGAGGACTGTCCCTACAACCCCTCCCACAGACCACACACCAGCCCAGCTCCTCTTCCCCAACGGTTTATTCTTTACACATGCTAAAAGCACCCCCAGTGAGGGGACCATGACAATGACAGGAGTGTGGGGAGGAGACAGTGCGAGGATGAGGAGCCCTGGTTTCCCATGGTGGGCTGCAGCAAGTCCCCCCTGCAGTGCCCTTGGGATGGGACAGGGGCTCCCCCCACTCAGGGGGCACTGGTCCCTCCCCAGCCCATCCACAGCAGCCAGCATCATCGCCACAGACAGGAAAGTCAGGACTGCCCCAAGGAAAAGGGGACTTCCGTGCCACCTCCTCGCACAAGGGCCACCTCCACTCTGGGGGACAGAGGACTCAGTGGTGTCCCCCCACATCGACCCCCCAGCTTCACCCAGGGCCCTGGCTCAGGGGTGGGCGAGGGGTAGGGAAGGGCTGAGTGCCCCCCAGCCCTGCTCGCCAAGGACAGGGTAGTCCCGGCACGGTGGAGGTCAGGATGGGGCCGTGCCCACGTGCAAGAGCAGGGCGCCCACCACATCCCACCACAGGCGGGGGGTCCTGGGACCCTGCAGCCACTCAGGGCCCCGACTCCTTCTTCCTCTTCTGGAAGCGGCGGAATTTGCCCTGGATGGCGAGCGCGGCTTTCTCCGTCTCAGGCGCGCTCAGGTCGATGTCGATCTCCTCCTCCTCCACCTTCTTGGGCTCACCGCCTTTTGCTGGGGGGCAGGACAGGGCAGGAGCTGCCCTGGTTACAGCCTGGCACCCCCAGGCTCCCCCAGCACCTGGGGAACACGCTGGCCCCTGCCACAGCGGGGTAGACCCAGGGGGGCACCCCAGCACACCAGCCCTCAGGTGAGGGACACCCAGGGGAGCACCCCCACGACCCCCCAAGGGACAGGGACACCCGGGGGGGCACCTCACCACGGGACAGGGAAAAGGTAGAGTGGGTCCCTAGATCGATCCGGGTGTCCCACAGACACACCGCCCCCCCACGGTGGGGACATAGAGCCTGGAGACTCCGGGAATGGGAGCAGCCAGCGAGGTGCCAGGCACTGGGGGCACGGGACAGAGGTGACACCGGTGCCGGGGCTCCCCACAAGAGTGCATCCCACCGGTGCCGGGGGTCCTCACCTTCTTCCTGCCCGCCGGGGGCCTCCACCGCGGAAGGGGACTCATGGGGGCTGCGCTGCAGAGAGAAAGGGGCGCCCGGGGGTGACACGGGGCCTCCA